AGTAAAACTTAAATGTTATGTTTTTTAACATGCAGAACCAAGGCATAAAAGAGGATCAGCATGCGTGCATTCACGCCGCAAACATCTGCATTCATATTAAAATGTTTTAGAAGCAACCACATAAATAATTATTTTATTGAAAAAAATATCAAAAGTCATATCTGTTTGGCGAGTGATACCGATAGTGTTTATCACCTACTTTAAAAATACACTTTTTGCCGACAGTTATCGGCTGCATACTTTCCCTTCTTTCCGCTCTTACGCACCTTAAATCCGATTCGCGCGATGCCGAGTGAAAAAAACTGCAATCCGCTCATGCGTTTGGTCATAAAAAGTAGGAACGCTTTCTATACGTTTTATCAGTTCGTGTGATGCATCGCAAGGTGCACCTTTTAAATTGTCAAAACGTCAAACCGGGCTATATATATATAAGAATTGGCTTTTATATATATATTATAATTATCATGCATGACTATCAAAGATTCTACCGACACTCTACGGCGTCTCCTGTTCCACCATATTAGTGTGTAATATGTTAACAATTAATTCAAACATGCAATATATTGACAACGATCCTTAAGGTTTATTCGAGTTGTGGCATTCGTTTTCGAAAACCGTGTCGTCTAGCTCTCGAGCAATGAAATATTATCCGGCTGATCATGCACGGAATTTTAGAAAATATATCAATAATAATTTCAAATCTAGAAATGTATTGCCGCTTATAACTTTCCCAAAAAAATTGTGTTAAAAGTGGATCAAAGATCAACGGACAGTTATCAACAAATTAATCTATACTGTACATGTATATATTCAATAATCGCAATATTTGCGTGCAGGGATGCTAATATTTACATATAATAATCCTGAGAAATTAATAAGATCCGCCTATTTCGAAACATCTAGTCCATTACAAACGGCCTGCCGGCACAGTGTGTAATTATTGCATAAAACGCAATCGCGGAAGCATATCAAAGGAATTATAATTAATGTAAAGAAAGTTTGATTGAAAGATCGTTAATGCATCATATATAAGCTGTTTCTAAGAACTTCATTTCATTGTAAAGGTTTTGTCGCGGATGTACGTTGAAAGGGAAAATGAGGAGATTGGTTAAAACAGTTTTCTCGTTCCTACTATTTTTGATGCTGTTTTTCTTTGCAATTTTTGCCAAAGCGGAAGATAAATTCTGCAAGTCAGATAATGCAGTGAATTCGGCAACGTCTTTCCGTTTGTTGTGGAAAGGTACGAAATTTACATTTATAATTCTATCGATGTCTCAGTTTGTAGCCACCAATGCAAGCTAGAATTATAAAGTGCATCATTACCAAAATAGTCTGTACAAATCAAACATAAATTTAATACCCTGTATTTTCCCTACATGCATGCACTTATGGAACACAGCATTTCATTAATAATTATAATCCATGGTTTAAATCGCATGTTTATTATGTGTAGAGTTTTACGCCACCGAGAAAAATCGTATTTAAAACCCCGTAAAGTACGATATTTTTACGTGTAAAAATATCATTTTCGGCAAGCCAATCAAAAACTGCGTAGGAAATATGTGCAAACAATCAAAACATCTGTTGTAAAACGTTCCGGTTTTTTAATTTTCGACTTCCTGCATCCCCGTGTTTTGCCGCAATCAAGCGAAAGGTTTTTGTCAAAAATACTTTTTACCGACTACAACTATAAGCGCACTTTACCGAACATGCATTGTTATTTTAAATGAGTGCCCTTCAATAAATATTTGTTTTTGAGTTACTAAGAATTGTCGTTTGCTTATAATTTGTTCATATAATAAACAGAATATTACATGATTGCTTGGAAATATGGATTCGGTCTTTGATAATGTATAAAAGATGCATGCCCGACCATGAAAGAATTGTCCGATGTTTCCCTGCGGGAAAAAAAATTGCAGCGCCGTATAGTTAAAAAGATAATTTCAAATAACTTCTAAAACGTGGTGTACTGCAATAAATCGGAACATTAAATATAAACATTAAATTCATTCCGATGCATGATTCAACTTTGTTGAGTGCTAGCTCAGTTTTTAGTTTTGACTGACATTATTTTTTTTTATTTTTTGCCTAAAACATGTTTCACTCGGATGGTTTTTATTTGCATGCAAAATTTCCGAGTATATTTTATTGTTAGGAAATTAAAGGACCTTAAATGGCAACATTCGTTAATAATTTAACCCCATATGAAAAGCAATATATTAGAAACAGCTTTTTTTGTTTATTCATGCTTGAACGTTTAACTTGGTATTCTCTAATTTTATATAGATGTATGCTCTCTCCCGAAAAATTTGCGTATAAATGAAGAAACATGTAATTTTTTAAGCAGCTGCGCCCTGACATGTTTGCAGGAACCGTTTTGTGCCGGGTATAACTTTAAGAATATACTCCAGAAAAAGAGCTCGAACTGTCAGTTAGCACACGCATTGAACTATAACATGAGCGTCTGTAACAAAAACGACAAAGGCTGGGTGTTTTATCATTTGCTTGGCCATAGAAAGGTAAGAACTTCTGTACTTGACGACCCCTTTTCGCGGACCCCTTTTTCGGTCGATGAAGTAAAAATTTAATTGTCATTTCGTAAACACTTCGTATAATAAACGCGGTTCTTAAATTAAATTTATATCAATCGTTTTGACAAAATGTAGAACATGCACTAATGTTCTCTTTTTATGAAAGGCCCATCTCTTTCCTTGTATATTCATTCTGCTTATATATGTGTATGAGTGGTATTATACTCCCTATGTCTATGAAGACTCATCAATGTCGTATCAATTAATAGGGGTGTCCCACTCATGCATGAGACCGAGCGAAACGCAGAAAATCATTTTGAGACAAAATCGCTGCTGATTTTACACCATGCATGCATCGACAAAAAAATGAACTTATTGAAGTAGTAATTGAACTGAACTCCGATTGTAAATGCATTCACCATAGTGTTATATCTACAATACATAACACTGTAAAACGGAACAAATTAATAATAAAATTGAAAAATAATAACATAGCATTATTGCCTATCGTATAGCATGATCATATGATATATACATGTAGCGTCATAAATATAAATTATACCATCATGCTTATACTGTAAAATATTAAAATTCAAACATCATAAGATGCATGCGATTCCATCATATTGTTTTTCAACTTAACTTAAGCCAATCCCTGATATCGATAGGTACCTTCCAATAAAATGAAGAATTGTAAAAATGGAGGTCACACAGTCATCGATCTTCGAGATGGACCTGGTTCAGATCCTTATAGATGTAAATGTCCACAGCACTACAAAGGGGAACTTTGTGAATATAGTAAGCTATTTATATATACCCTGTTTCACGCACGTTTTTAACTGAATAACAAGACGCCGTTCTGGCGTTAACTCCGGCGCACGTGCCAGTCTTCAAGATAGAGCTTCTGAACATAAACAATACAGCTCGCGTATTGTTTTGCATACATATTCGCATTTAGATGCCTTGCGAACCTAAATGTTCGATCGCGAAATTCAGAAGCACATCGCAGTATAGAAGTTCAATTGTTCAAAAATGTAAGTAAACCGCATGATACATTCGCCTTTGGAATTCGCAGTTATATAGTTATCATTAAATCTTCGATCCTGTCCAAACTACGCAACGTGTCAATGCGCACATACACGACCACATCATCTTGTTAAACGGCGAAATAGCAGCGACATCATTAAAATAGGACCGGAATCTACATGTATTAAATATATTCTTACCCCAATTCAATCTAAACTTAATCGAACAGCATGAAAAGAACAGTTTATTTGTTCCTCTTGGAGGAATTGCCGTATCATGCGAACGAAATCGAATCGCGCATTGGAAAATTAGCCAAAGCTGTGCACCACAACTCTTGGGAGATAAGACTGGGACGTTGATAAATACGGTCACATACACATTTCAAATACAAGTATATTTCGCGCCATTACACACTTGCGACGACGAAAAGTAAAACAAAAACAAAAACAAAACAAAACCGGGGCGAATTTTCAACTTCGTCGCTGACGCCGGAGTGATAACGTCTAATGATATTTTAGTTGAATGGACGATATAATGTGGACCAAACTCATTCATGCATAAGCTCGCTGTTTCTTACCATATGCAAGGTATACTGTTGTCGCTTTTTCACGACAATATGTTGCCATGAAGTTTTATAGTCTCTGTACGGATGTAAGCTAGTTTCTTCTTCCCGTCGCCGACATGAGTGTCACATGTGTACTAATTTGTACTTCACCCATGCGTATAGTCCTCAAGTTTTATTAAAATACAAAAAAGGCCGTTCACGGCACACAAAAATTCATATCAGAAATAAAGAATACAAAGTAAACACTGGCCATGCACAAAAACTACATTACTTACACATCAATTCATTAACTTTCCGAATCGAAACATTCAATGTGAATATCAGCGATTTTATAAATTCTTTGCGAGAATATATAATTATAGGGGTCTATACAACTAAAACTTTGAGTAATATCTGAATATTTCAAAGCTGCCCTATTGATCAAGATGTTGGCAAACAGTGCGCTACGTGTGTTTGCGACGATTTTACGTTTTATACTTCTGTTCAAAGCATTTTGTAGTAAAAGTAGAAAGCCATTAATTATGATGTAAGGTAAAATGCAAATTGGGGCACAAGAGACGGCAATTTCTGTCGCTAATAAACGCATGGTCATGGCCAGCCTAACGGTTTTTCCTGCTATGCTAATAATTATTATGGTGTTCTTTGACTGTGAAAACAATGAAATTCTAAAGGCATGAATTATTATGATAACTGGAAATTTTCTTAACGGGACAAAATCTGGCTACGATACTTTGCTTGCTATGGTTTGAATTAAAGAAATATGATGAATTTTTATGATGAATAAACATGAATCTTTCGTGCGTTGAAATAATCAAGAAGCCGGCCAAATAACTTCCAAAAAATTGTAATGAAATACTTCTCTCTACAATTAGCTCAATGTCTAATCCCGGTGCCACTAGGCATGGAGAGCGAGAAAATACCTGACGGGAAAATCACTGCGTCATCGTACTATGATGAAAGATACCTACCCCACTATGCAAGATTGAGAAGAGTTGGTAAAAATTGCAGTTGGGAACCTCCCTACAACTTTAATTCAGCCACGTGGGTTCAAGTCGATCTAGGGAAACTGGCCATTGTTACAGGAATAGCGACACAAGGAAACTGCTACACTAGTCCCACAGAATGGGCAAAATCGTATTCGGTTTCGTACAGCAAAGATGGAAATAATTGGAAATATTTTGAAGAATCAGGAGGTGTAAAGGTACAGTAATAAATAGGCCAGGACATGCAGTTAGGAAAATCATTAGAGAATTTCAATAATAACGTTACAGGTCATTATATATCACAGTATGCTTTATTTTACATACTTGTAACAACCAGCTTGTTATATTTCTAACAACTAAGTGTTATTCCCGGCGGAAACTAGCGTAATGATTGGGATGGGTTCGAAATCAATATTCCTCCCCAAGGCCTTCGCTGCCAGACGATTGTAATTACGCCCGGGAATGCAAATGCGAAATTGAAGTTGTCCTCCATTATGTCTTGCACATTGAGCGTTTGTGTCATTGTGCCTATCAGTCAAGCAAACCATTGGAAACGTGCGATTGGCTATGTTAGAATTTTGGTTTGCGCCAGCATAGCTGATATTTTAAAACTTTGGAATAATATTTTTCACTCAGGTGATCTTCAATGGCGGAACCAGCCTAACAATTTGGTCATGCTATGCAAATTTCAAGTCATTAAAATTATTAAAATCTTTAGAAATTCATTGTTTTCACAGTCAATGAACACCAAAATATTAGCATAGCATCACTAAAATTGTCAGGCTGGCTACGCCACTGGTGATCTTGAATACAAAACAATTGACTCGCAAAATTGTATAAAGGGAATGGAAAGATATCTTCGCATAGAAAATCCACGATTTTGAAGCTTTCTTAGAGTGTTTTTGAAGAAGTAAATGGGTAGTATTTTTATGTTAAAGGACGTGTTTTGCACGTTTGATACTAGAATTTATCAACAAATGTATGATAATCTTTGAGTTTATTTTTCACCAATTTCATTAAAATTATTCTGATTGGGAAGGTGGTTATTTCAAACTAAGTTTAAAGGTGAATCTGATTTAAAAAGGCATTGAAATTTCGCTGAAAATTTTAGTATTTAAAACCATTCGTAGCAATATAATAATTATAGTTGAATTTGATAGCTCAAGAGTCGCTCAATTTTCTGGGACGTCGAACATTCAGCAGAAACGAGTACCATGACATTTTACTATTGGAAAAATATGATCTGTTGAAAAACACCACAAATGTGTAGATCCAAGAGCGTAAAAACCCCCCATTCTTTCAGAAATTTTCATAGCAGTATATTCTCGCACAAACGTTTGCTAGCAATGTTTTGGGTATTTTATATTCTAATCAATATAATATGTACATGTAACAGTGCAACATGATAATTTTCATTTTAGGTTTTTCAGGCAAACAGGGACAAGCATACCATTGTAACCAATGTGTTTAAGAATGCCACTCAAGCCCGGTACCTGCGTATTTGGCCAAAAACGTGGTCGTATTATCCAGCGTTGAGGCTCGAATATTACGGATGTTATCTGTAGGACTTGTGTTGCACAGATGATTTTGAATTTTACCATCTTATGTGAACAGAGAACCTAGAGAGACAATGTAATGATGCGTAAATTAAGTCGTCCTTAGTTTATTGGACGGCAACACGACGACGACGCGGCTGAAATTATTCTTTAGATAAATGCTATAGCAAAGTTGTTGTTGTATATTATTAATTGTACCAATTTGAGTATAAGGCGTTAAGAACATTGTACTGACATGTGTTTAAGGACAATTCTATAGAGCCTACTTCGAGGTATAGGTCTCCCTGGGTCCTGAAATGCACCCGTTCTAGGCAAGACGTAAAAAACCTCGTTTTCCCGTTGTTAACAAAACGAAGACGACTTCTAAAACCCATCATGGTCTTTAATTATTCATTTCTTTTCAATGACCCATGTATTGATAGCCGTCGTCGTTGCGTTCGCGTCCTACATGCTTAAGGTCGCTAAAGTTGCCATTTTACCGCGTGAACACCTGAACCAGACGATTTCTTAAACGTTTGGTTCAAAATTCGTCGGGTTCCCGTGTGAACGTACGTAGTATACCTTTAGTAGAAAATATAGTAAAAAATAATATAGACCCACGCCTTTTAGATACACTCCTTCGGAAATATGGCTCATTTTCATAAATTATTATAGGTTAAAGTTTAATAAACTATTTATTATATTGTTATACTACTTTAATAATGTTGAATAAACCATTTTTATTTAGATTTACAAGACTAAATATCAAAACTTTAACACTCTGCACGTGACAAAAGCTGTAGCCAGATCGCTTAATTGGAGGGGTACATGTATATCTTTAGATATACTCATTTTTACACATCAGAGGAATAATAGCGCACAAACTAAATCAGTCCAGCATGAATACATGAATATGCACCACCCTCCTTCCTCCAATTAAAGCTCGAAGTTCACACAGTCCTTATTTCAGTGCGAGGGATGTTGGTTAGATTAAGGTTGAGTTTGGATTGAGACAGGAGACTATAGTTGATATAAACAGTTGTCCGAACAATGAGATTGTTAAATAGTTTTTTTTTTATTTTCTTATACGCTAGGTAGTAGGATCTTTACAAGGTTTTAACCATTTTTTCTAAATGTTTTCTTTTAAATGTTCTCTCTTTTGCTTCAAGTCTTCGTTGTTACTGTCGTTTCTTTTTTGTTTCTTCTTTTCTTGTCGAGCTTTTTCAACGTTTCATATGGCTTTTACTCCGTTAGTCCACGGATGGTTCGAGTGCTTTGCGCCTCTTTTTATGATAAAATTTGAGGGGATCTTGAAGACGCGCTAGGCAAAGTGATGTGATTCACACTATCCAATCAACGTTGTATGTTACAAGTGTGAGTTGGCGTTGGAAGTTCGGTCCAACTCTCGCATTTTGTTTATAACCCGTGCAATAATCTGGTATTAAGTTTAACTGCTTTTGAATATGCCTTCACGTGGCTGTTGTTGAATACAACACCACCACGCAAACGAATATATTTATATTCCTTCAAACGGCTGTTGAACATTTGGCCTTGACACTTGGCCTGTTGAACATGCCTTCGTATGGTTAATGGCTTTTTGTTTTGAATACTTAGCCATACGTACGGCTGTTGAATATTTCGCCTTAAGGCCGTTGAATCTGCCTTCGTATGGCTGTTGAATACTTAGCGATACAGCTGCTGAATATTTAGCGTAACATCATGCACCACACAAATGAATATATTTATATGCCTTCACACGGCTGTCTACATGGCTTCGTATGGCTGTTGAATACGCCTTTGTATTGCTGTTATAAATACTTAGCGATATGGCTGTTAAAAAATAAAAACTGCTTTCCAGGCCTGCGTACACAATAGAAAGTCTGACCTCCCTGATTTCACAAACAAACTTGAATTCTTAATTAGATCCCTGGAAATGGACAGACATCTACCAAAGCAGAAAGCAGATCGGGATTTATGTCGACTATACATAACTCGGCTGGAGACTAGGCACGAGAAATTAAGAACGTCATGTAACGTCAAAAATAGTGTGCTGCCTCGCTGAGGCTCGGCAGCAATAATGGCCAGATAAAAGTCTGGCAGGACTGGATTACGCTAAAAATAAACAAATAATCATGTGATGTTATTAGTGATTAAAAGTACTAGTGATGTTTGAAAATTTGGCCAGATTGGACTCGCCCCGCTAGCTCGTCTAAGTTTTCAAACATCACTCGTTCTAGTAATCCTCAACTGTACAGTCTGTACTCGCCATCGCACATAGTGAATATACACACCTGACCACTCATAAAAATGCATCGCCGCTGATTTTAACATTATTCGCCTGTTTTTAGACACGAAGCCGTAGTTAGGCTCCTTTTATTTAACCTAAATTAGCAAAGTTGCAATCTTTTTGTATAAACATCCTATTATATAGAAATTCCTCGTTAATATTTAATACATTCCGTTATCCGACATTTGCAAAAGAAACTTTGCCCTGCATTATATTTCCAAACATGCTTCGACCACAGGCACCTGTCACAGGCTATAATTGTGATGAGTAAATACAAACAGGGCTATTTGTAAATCGAACTAAAGATCTCTTAGTCACGGAAAAGGAAAGGGGGAAGGGGCAGTAGGCGTACAGAAACATTTGAATCTAGAGACGTTGGGCAAATTGTTATCGATTTGTACTAATGCGTCGGGTAATTTCTTTCAGGTTGTTACGCCTATTCTCTCAGTGTCAGCCACGGATGACTTGCTACCCAGCCATAGTGGTATGTAGTAACAAAGATTTTATCAACCATTAAAACAATTATCACCCAGCGTGGGTGGGTAAAGCCGGTTTTCCACTAGCGATATTTTTCGCGCGAAGCGACTTTATTCCTTTGTATTTGAGCAATTTGTTCCAGATGGTTGCAGTGGAGAGCTCTGAAACAAAAGTAAAATGTCGCTTCGCGCGAAAATTATCGCTAGTGGAAAACCGGCCTAACGTTGTCTGAGGCACTCAATGGCATGGTTACAAGTCAACAATAGAGTTTTATAATGCGTGCTATAGCTTGTGAGTAAGAACGTATATATATTTATATAGAGAGCCGGTTCTCTGCCAAATCATACTGTTGAATTGAATGCAGTCTTTTTTCATTTCGAGACATAAAGTATTAAGCACAGTAGTAAAATATTGTGAAAACAATAACTAAGCAGTTTCTACCGTACTGATCAGTTGGCTACACAAAATATCCAGCAATCCAATTAGCAATATTGCATTTAAATAATGCTCTGACTTGATCAGGTTTCAGATTCTTAGCTCAAGCCGGGTTGAAAGTTCAATCAAATACGTGCAGGATGCCAGGATTGAATTTGAAGCACTGCATGCACACTCCTAGAAGCTTAAGAAAACTGAAAAAGTGTCCTTTATATAGCTACACGAATAGAAATATCACATATTTTAGCGAGCTGCAAACAAGCTGTCACTGAGCAACTTGTGTTTGCACTGCGAACTTGTTGATAAGTTGTAACAAACTTGTTGAATCATAAGGCTTATTTGTTGCAACACGTCTGCTACGGACATCCAGGGCCATCGCTAGAAGCCTAATTGGGGCAGTGCATATTCGTATATTCATGTTCGAAACAATATCTAACAAATGAAAACAGTCGTTCCCTCCTTGGGGTGCCAAATTACTGAAAAAGAAGCCAAAAAACATTGTTGTAGTCGACTCTTGAAACAAATGAAACAACGATTAATCGATTATGGTAATAATATTTGGCTAATTTATTCGGTAATCTGGCAACCCTGAACGCCCCCCCCCCCCCTCCCCGCCCAATTAAGCTTCTGTAGCGACATCCCTACAGACGTCAACTTAACAATTTTTCTACAATACAGTGATGTCGCCAGTATCGATAAGTGGGGTGGACATAGTCATATATTCATGTTCACAGACCGTTAAAACAATCAATTTGTTATATCGTAGCAGACGTAGCTATATCAAACTTGTCAGAACAATCTTCGGATATTGCAATCATGATCAGGCTTCCTACATGTTGTTAGCAGCTTTATTCTAACAGGAACCGTTATTATAGCAACTTGGAGAAAGCCGAGTGAGAATTCGCCTTTGTGGACAGCTTGTGAACAAACAAGTAATTTACAAACTTGTTACATCAACTTGTGCATTTTCTCGTGTGTAGGTTTATGTAAGGTTTAGTGCACGTGACGAGTGACACGCTGTCAAATATCAAGACCACAAGATATCTACTTTCGGTATATTCGTATTACAGGCATATAATTATACCACTTTACGCTTCAAATTTAACTTGTTTTATAGATTATTAGATATCTAAAAGCGATTTTGTGAGATTTGTAGAATAATTCTAATGGTTCCGGGCTGGAATTTTAGGTGTGTAAAGTGTTCATGAATTCCATCCGAAATTAAGTTACATAATATTTATCAAGCTTCAGGCTTTGGAAGTACAAAAGGTCGTCAACGTACATAAGGCCGATGCGCCTATGCCGGAATTTCTAAATTTATCAGCTACCCCCCGGTTTACTAGAATATATTGATTGCCGGATAGTTTATACTAAAAAGGAATGCTTTTATCGGCACGGCACGGCTAAAATTGGTACCCGTACCCAATTTTATAAATGTTCAGGCTACCAAAACAAAGGCCGATGGCCGCGATGAAATGGGTATGATTGGCACGCTGATCACAATGTCCTTGTTGAGTACTTCGTCAGGAGGTAGCCACCGTGGCAAATTTTATTTTTGAAGCGACGTGTTCAATCTAGGCGCTGACGAGCACCACATTCAGGCACTTCGTCTGAACGTAGCCTTACCAGATGGAAGAAAGATCTGTATTGGACACAGTGAAAATTACTGACTGGCCCGCCCCTCTTTAAACAGTCTGTTTGAATATGCAAAGAAAGAAAAATTAAGGACTTTTAGCTTTTCGCACGAATTGTACAACTTGGAAAGCCAGAAAGCTTACTAAAATTAAACATTTTTTTATAAGAACTACTCCACTCAAGATTGTGAAACGCTTTTTATATAGCAATGCAATACAATAAAATGTTTTCTTGAGTTCCTGGGGGATCAGATAATTAAAACTCGTTCGTTGTTTACTGTCTTAGTCTCACTTGTGTTTGCTCAAGATTTGCATGCTAACATTTCGATACATGCTTGTCTGCTATGCTCTGTTACAACCGGGTAAATATTACCTTTAATATACAGTTTGAATACATTATGCAAACTATAGTATGATAAAACGTAGACAATGACAAAGCACAGCACATTAAGTTATTTGGCACTGTATAAGCTGACAGGCCGCTTGCTTCCTGTACGTCAACGCTTGCTCAATTTAAATAAAGGTGATTAGCATATTAACTATATACAATTTATACCGTATATTGACAATGTATAATTAACTTAATGCGCCACTGGACACACGCTGATTATAATATCTCATAATGAATATGCCGTGGCAGAATTCAATATCTTCGTGATTCGCGGCTAAGAAAATTCATTCGACTGAGTTTACTATCTCACGGCCTCGACAAGGTTGACGTTGATTAATGACAACGCTCACTTCCTCTGCGAGGGGCATTATTATTCAGTGGGAAGTCATCAAAATACAATTACTTCGTAGGAAACTGTTTGCTTTGAGTATTGGATTGTTAAATGTTATGTTGGCATCAAATCGACAACAACTCGAATTTCAACACCTGAAATCGTCGAAAATAATGCTGTAAGTTTATATCATTCGTAATCCACGTTGTAAGCGAGTATTGAACCAATCTCGTGACCTGTTTGCTCTAATTTGCCCAATAGTTAACGTCGTGCCGGAAGCCAGCGGGATCATCAAGTCGGTATTTGAGTAAAATTATCGTGTAATATATATATTTATATAATCATACAACTGAATACGACTACAATCTGTACAATGGTGTCTGCCTGGACTGTTGTCGAAGCTATCTGCCTTGTGTGCGTCTTTATCGGAGCTTTGTCTGGGAATATGGCGTTATTCTTAATCGTGGCAAAAGTACGAACTCTCCAAACGAAGGGGAATGTATTTATACTGAACCTTGCTGCAGCGGATTTAATGGTATCACTCGTTAATCTACCTATAACTATTGTGACTGTGATCGCAGAAGACTGGATACTCGGAAACACAGTTTGTCTAATATCCGGCTTTATAACTCTGCTAACTTTCGTCGCTTCGTGCATGGCATTATCCATGATTAGCATCAATCGGTATCATGCCATAGTTCACTGGACGACATACGAGAGCACCTACACACGTCGAAAGTGTGCATTGTATGTCTTTATAACATGGACCATAACAATTATGCTATCTCTGCCACCGTTTTTTGGCTGGGCAAGTTTCGAATACGATCATGGGCAAAGTTATTGTTTTGCGGAATGGAGAGTGAGCAAATCGTATACAATATTCATGATCGCAGCTTGCCTAATGGGACCATTGACGGTCATGAGTTATTGCTATATCAAAATCATTCGTTACCATAGAGAAAGTGAAAGGGACGTTATCAGAGCGTCGATGACCACAACAGCATCGACCTCGACAACTTTCAGAATCACTCCTGATTTCGAAAGACGTCCAAGTAAAAAACGTCTGACCAAAACAATCGTCACATTAATTGTTGTGTTCGGAATTTGTTGGTCGCCATTTGCACTTATCATGATAGTCCAGGTGTTCTCGAGTGCATACGTGCCACGCGCGGTTGACTTTGGCTCCCTTGTCTTGGGTTATCTCAACAGTTTTTTCAACGTGATTGTGTACAACGTTACGAACAAAAAAATCCGAAAGGAATTCAGAAACTTATTTTACTCTGTCCTGTTATCGAAAACGAAAGACAGTGTTGATAGGTCGAGATCGTGCAGTATGAGCGCATCAACTGGGAATTATATATAGATCAGATTAGCACACAAGCAGTAATTGCTGTGTATATTACTTCACAAATATTTAAAAAAAAATGCTCGTAGGGGGCTTTCTTTTTAGCAGCAAAAATGGTCAAACCGATAATATTATGAAATCAAATAGAGTATTTCGTTAGTTATAAATGTTATTTTTCGTGTTTGGCTGATGTCAATAAACGCTATACTTGATTGCAGAGATGTTGAAACACTCCAAATTCAAGAAATCTGTTTTTTCTGAAATTCAACACGACCTGCCTGGCCATTTTTACCGCGCATAAAGAACAGTGTATTTCGCAATTCTGAAGCCAAAAGAACGCTTTCTTCAGCAAACAAATGGCTATATAGCCGTAAGGGCACATAAGGAACTTGCCCTTAATTAGTAGAAATAAATGTTTATTTCAAAATACTGGTCGTAGTGGATAATAGTCTGTACTGAGTTAATGTATTTTTAACACCACGTTTTAACAGCAGGCAATAGAGACCAAGGTTTCTGGTTAAAATCTTGGGCATAACCCGTTGAGAAATCTGAAGAAAATTTCAGTTGCACCTTATAATAGAAAATTTACGAGTGAGAACATTTGAAATAACGCTTACAATTTGGAATTTAATTTCTGTCTCTATTTCTACTCCTACAATAATTATTTCTCTCCCTTTTCCTACTTTCCATTTTAAGTATTAAAACAATCCATTTTGAAATTGCAACTACTTATTTCGGGGATCTCCGAAATTCAGCATTCGAAAGCTGACTTTTGGATAACACATCTCCTGTAGAATCCTATCCCTACATTTTTGCTCCCCTATTCCCGCTTCCGTTTTGATTGTATAGTGCATACTACATACTGAGCAGCAATACAAAAGCTTGTCGGTGGTTTTCCAATCTATTATCATGATAGATTGCGTGCAGTTTTGACAACAATGCAGAATCAATGTACTTTGTCCTTAAAACGCCACTTCGCCCAGCTTTGCCCAGCTTTTGCCCTTTGCCAATAACACTCCCTTATTTACACTCTTTTTCGATGTCAACAGCTGAAATATAAGTTAGATAAAATGCCTAAAAACTATTATAGTTATATAGCTAATCAACTGTGACACATGTCAAATAATAAACCTATAATTCAAGAACATGATTAAAATTTCTATAAATGCTATCCACCTGCAAAGATATTAGATTTGTCAGTGTGCTGTAATGCTGTAGATAATATAGGCCTAGCCTACTCACTGTATGTGAACTATATTCTGCAATCTGATTGGTATACGATCAGCTCGTATGCGGTGAGTAGCAAAAACAAAATGGTAGACATTTTTTTTTAATGAGTGATGGAGAAGAGATTATAACAATTTAATTGATATGCATGGTGAGTGAAACTGACTGGAGCTCTTCACATGTTAAAAAAGCGATACATTTCACATGTATTATCATTGAGCAATACATTGATATATATATACAATGTTTAAATCGTTCATAAAATGCTATCGGGCCTATTGGCACTCGCTCTGACACTCTCGTATAATTTTAAAATAGCTTTTAGTGGAGATTTTGCTTGTAGCTATATCGCCTATAGTCGATAGAGCACGCTAGGCGTATACTTTTTCAGTCTCTGAAGCCTTGATTACCTCTCAGAGATATTTTGTTTTATGTTTTGGCGAATAAATGTAACCATTCAAGAAACTTAGTTTATTTATATTTCCGTGATCTCATGATCACGATTTAGTGTCAAATTTGTGATATCAAGTGATTAGTTGCCATATTTAATTACACAAAATTCAAGAGTTGATTTCCGCTAATATGATGCGGTCCAATATTTAAAATCAACAGACAATCGGCTAAAAATATTCTGACAGTCAAAAACAGACGTTCAAATTGCGATAATATATGGAAAGTTGATTATATTTATAATTTCCCGCTAAATGGTTTTTTAGTAATACTATAACTTGAGCTCGCTTAACTCGAGCTAAATCCGATTTCCCTTGAATTTGGCAGTGTTTTTTATAGCGGTAATTCACTCCGCTTAACTCGAACTCGCCTAACTCGAACCCCTCGCTAATTCGAACAAAATTTTGTTTTCCCTTGGTCAAATATATCCGGTTAACTTGAACTTTGGTTTCGAATCATAGATCAGCAAACTTTAAAATGTGAGAAGACAGCATTTTGACAACTGGAAACTATCGAGTAACAACAAGTTAATGAAAATGTATTATTGATTTTAAATTTCAAAAGATTTTCTGTAGTGCCATGGTCGTTATTGATCTAGCTTTTTTAGTTCCTTTTGTATTCTTTCGATCTTTTTAATTTTAAAACGTCGTCCACTCTCCGTGACCATTCATATTTGTAGGCATGATATCTCAATTGAAGAATGATTCGATTGTACACTGGCGGTTAAAAAAAAACTGCTCAAAACAAGTTAAAATGCTCTCAAATGAACGTAACTGTCCCTGTAACACTATATACGAGTAAATATAGACTAGATTACATGCTAAGCTATATGAAATATTAATATTTTGTTTCACTCTCCTTTGGCCTTATAATTGATGACGCCTTACACCGGCGTGGCATACTTTCTGTTAAGGTGGTAATCTTCACGGTCAAAAGAAATTCATCCTATGGACAGCCTTTACAGCAAGGCATAAATCATGGACGCTTTATGAATGAATTCCTTTCTTGCACCATAGCCGGACAATCTTCTGGATTGTCTATGCTTGCATTATCCCCTTGAGATTGTCCCACAGATTTTCAACAGGGTTAAGGTCTTTTGACTGTGCAGGCCAATCCATTTCTGTCACTCCCTCTTCCTGAAACCATTGTTTGACAATATCTTGGAAGTGTGGGAGGTTGCATTACATTATTGAAATATTGCTTAAAATGAGATAATTATACAAAATGCCAATGAAGCTCTCTCCAATATTTGCTTCTTTTTTATTAATTTGTATCTAAACAGTTCTTTTTGACCGCTAGTGTACAATAGAAAATAGATTGTCACGATTCCTGTTACATACGATAATAGCAACATTTGAGCAGTTTTTTTTGACCGCCAGTGTATTTTATACCTTATTGTATTACTTATAATAAACGTAATCTGACACCAATTCCGGTTCACTCGAACCCCGATAACTCGAATAATTTTTCTTTCCCCTTAGAAGTTCCAGTTACAGCGAGGGAATATACTGAACTTTTTAAACTGGAAAATTTTGAAATTGAAACACTGATGTAAATAGGTTACATGATTATCTCATTTGCCTACTCATCGTATGTGATCTATATTCCGCAGTCTGATTGGTATATGATCAGCTCGTATAGGGTGAGTAGGAAAAACAAAAATGGTAAACATTTTTTCTGAAGCCGGAGTGATAGGGAAGAAATTAAAACAATCCAATTGATATGCAGGGTGAGTAAAACTGACTGCAGCTTTTCAAATGTTAAAAAGGTAATATATTTTTACATGTATTAACATTGAGCAATACACTGATATCGCGGCACTCGCTCTCGTATAATTTTAAAATAGCTTTTAGGGGAGTTTTTGATTGTAGCTATATCGCCTATATAGTCGATAGAGCACGCGAGGGGCATACTTTTTCAGTCTCTGAAACCTTGATTACCTCTCAGAGATATTTTGTTTCTATGTTTTGGCGAAAAAATGTAACCATTCAAGAAACTTAGTTTATTTATATTCCGTGATCTCATGATCACGAGTGAGTGTAAATTTTTTGCTTAGTGATCAGTTCCAGCTGATCTGTGTATAAAAATCAACCAATCAGAAGCCAGATCTTGACAAAACTGAGTTATCATTTCCTTCATTGCAAAGGACTTCGACACTCGAAAATATCAAGTAATTTTATTATATTTATGTGAAAACACGTTTATTTTTTCCCAACTGCAAATTAGAATTTAAATTTTTCACCCTTTATACTATTAGTTGGAAGAATAAGTACAAATAACACCAGGCACATGATAACTAAGTTTTGTCGAGACGCTTTATGACGTCATGATCTCAGATCAGCTGGTTAGTCGCCATATTTAATTACACAAAATTCAAGAGTTATTTTCCGCTAATATGATGCGGTCCAATATTTAAAATCAATCACCAAAAAAAACGGACAATCGGCTGAAAATATTTTGATAGTCAAAAACAGACGTTCAAATTTTGATAATATAGAAAGTTGATTATATTTATAATTTGCCGCTAAATAAAACAAACAATAAAGACAACATGCAAATATACAAATAAGCGTACTATGATTATGTAATATCCATGACCTATTGCTGAAATAGTATATTGCTTAAATATATAGCTCTCGACCCTGTTGTTATATTTTTCAGCATAGTTTATATATATATATATATATTAATATATATATATATATATATATATATATATATGACAATATTTGATCTATTAATTAATCATCGTGTATGATTTCTATATATACTTAACATAATATATGCCTTTTGTATTTATCAATTATCACAGCATATGATTTATTTATTAATCATAGCAAAGTAATTTATTTATATTTAACAGAGTATATATGATTTATGTATTTATCACAGTATATGATTTTTGTATTCGTCACAGTATATGGTTTATTTATTCATCCATAGGCAGCCCGGTCAATGCGGGTACCGCATACTATCTTATGCATGTATATAATTATATGATTATATGATTTATTTTCATTCTGATCACTATACCAGAAGGTAAATGCTAATTTGGATTTCTTTCACGGCTGTATAATCGTCAATCTCTATTAACAATGATCTGCTGTTAAGCTGTCATATACACGAATTCAACTTTGACTTGGAAATTAAAATTTCTCTCTTCTTCAGTTTATCCGATTGAAATTACACAAAAACACCAAAGAACTCCAAACTAAAAACTGATGTCCATGCAAGAATAGCTTCGATTACTTTTACTTTTGGCTGCCTTCAGTATGAACCCGTATTTATGTCTTATCATGATAAAATTATAAACCAAGAGTTGCATCTAGAGTGTACCTATCGCCAAAATATCTGCAAAAGTGTTACTCCGGCAAAATTAGAAAAAAATCAAGTTCTGCCAGAATATACTTGAAATTAACTTCTGAATTACATTAACAGATTATGCAACATAGAAAAGTGGCATTAAAGATTCTTCAGCTCCCAACAGGAAGCGGACTTTAAACAAGGAAGGGCGAGTTCCTTTAGTACTGATGACACCCATGAACTCTTTCCCATGGAGTTTTAGGTATTTGTGGTAAACCGCAAACAGCTATAGCGGTTTGACGTTGACATTAATTTCGTATTTCGTTTGCACCCATTTTGGCTATTTACATACTTTGAAATATGCACGTACTGACTAATATGCACCATTTACATACTTTAAATGTTTTGAAACTTCATGACTTTACTGAATAGTTTTGCTGTTGAATTTCTTTACTAAACATTGTTTAAACCAGAAAGACATATTGCCAATTAAACGTATTATTGAATATTGATAATTGACAGTTGGTGTACTACATTGCCAACAAGCTTGGATAGTTCGCGGCCATAAGACCTAAAACAAAATCGAAATAATGAAACACTGACGTAAATAGGTTACATGATTATCTCATTCATATCAAACTCTTTCCTTATTGAGATGAACATTTGCTCAAACTAGTGTCCAGTTTTTTTCTATTACAAAATGCGCGCCTTGTAAAACAATATGGTGTCTAGACCAAAGCGCACATTATGCAAACCTCAACGTTTTGTCCACGAATTTGCGGTTCGATGTGGAAAAAAATCATTTAAACGGCAGGCGAAAGATAATAACCTTTACGACGTTGAGATCAAAAAGATTGATCAAGAAAATAAACGTGTTCGTACGCATTTTAAAGGATACGATTCGCGTTTTGATGAATGGCGACCCTATGGGCTATGGCAAAGTTAATATATTTCCCGTTTCTTCAGCATGAAAAGCCTCGTGTTTTGGCCGCCGCGTCAATATAGACGATAGAGCTGATAATAACAATAACAATAAAACCTTTTGATTAAAATTTCGCCCTTACACGCGCAGGTAGCCGATGTGAACGATATTAATGTCCCTTATTCCAGCATATTATATGTATAATATATACACAATATATCAATAAGAAAATCATTAATGTGTACTGCAGCAGCGTAGGCTATTGCCGACGCTATTTATTGCGCGCCGACGCAAAATATACACAACTGTGGTATTAAACAGTACTATATTAAAGCATACAAGGTGAAAATATAAAATTCTCTTGCCTGCTTATCTCGTAAGTAAACGTCGGGCCTCCATTCTGATTGTGTTCACATCACCAACAGCAGAGACTGCATTAATGTGTGAACAACATATGCAAATGCCGACCAATGTCGCAAAATACCTACAGTTCATGGCCATCGGTCCGAAGCTAATTCACGTTGAATATGTACGAAATTCATATCAAAATACGCGCCAAAACATGTAGATTTCAATTCCGAATGTAAGGAAAAGAAACATTGTATAGTGGAAGCAGTACGAGGAGTTTTCCCGCAACTTCCGCTCTAAACGGCGATTTTTGACCAATATTCTTATATAGCCCGCAACATTCAACCCCCAAAGTCCGACTCCGGGATACGACGAATCTTTACCAAAAACAATAAAGAATGTGCGGCATAGATCTAAATTTAATAATCCGTGTGTAAGTGAAAGATAGCTTCAGTTTCTAAGGCACACGAACAGAAAAAGCGCTTATTTTGGACGAGTTTGTATTGCGCACTGCTGGGGGTATCCTCGCTTGTAACGCGATATAGACTATTTGTATAGCGAGAGTTTGATATGTGCAAAAGCGTTTTGCTCATTGGCTCCGAGAAGGTAAGAGCCAGATGCATACTGGCATTATGTACCTAGCTAACTTCCCGAGAAAACTCAGATAGAGGGCAACAGTCACTGAAAAGGGGGTGGCCAGAAGCAAAAATATGAGGCACGGCGCAGGAAAATCACCGATATCCCTGTAGGCCAGTCCGTCATGTATCTTATATGTTTATTTAAGATAGCCGCCGAAAAATAATGTTCAGTAAAATTGGCAATGTTTCCGCGTTTGCCAGTTGTTCAGACTAAAATGTTCCTTTTCTGAACAAAAAAATAAGTAGTGCCCAGTGTCGATTATTCTTACAGCCACATACAGTCATCATATAGGCATTGCCACGCTCAAACCACTATAAAAAACTTATTTGAAGTATTGCGAGCTATAAACGTAGCATTTCATTTGCATTTTGTTTCATGTTAAAATTGGTATGTTTACGATCTTCCAATGTGTGACGACGGGTGTTCTGACTGTGAAAAGTCTCAAAACGATGTGGTAAATAGCGAAGTATGTTTAAACCAATCCGAGGAAAGCGATGATGAAAAAGTTTTAGAAGTTTTCGGTTAGTATAATTCATAAAATGATCAGGGATATTATTCACCATTGACTGATTATTCACTCGTCACCCAGCCAGGCCCACACGGCACACACTGATAATTTATTTTGTTTGGTATTAGAAAGTTGAGGAGTTGAAAGTTTTTTAAGTGATCACATCCAAAATTTCGTGTGGAGTTTTCCGGGGTAAACCTGACTTTATACAACTTGTTTGCAAGTACGGTGATTTCTAGAAAAGGGGAGGGGGGGGGGGGGGTGTTAAGCTTTTCTTCTGGCATAGCTTCACTGCTTCAGAGTAAAATTTATTTACCATGTGAAATTTCAAAAATATTATTCAATGTCTGTCTTTGTAAATGAATATTCACAATCTGAGTATTAAAATTCATTATTCAAGATTTGACATGAATGTCTGGATATTGTATTAAAACAAACAATAGGGGTATGTGATTAAAGTAAAATCTTCCTATGCAAACATGCTATTGTTCTCACAAACATTGAAACTCATTCAAGCCTTAATTTGCTAAATCTTCTCAATTAACATGCTAAGATCTTTGTATGATCCTGAGCACTACATACGGTCTTGGTTTGATCTTGCCAAGATCTTGGTATAATCTTGCTACAATCTTGGTATATATGATCTTGTCTTGGTATGATCTTGGTATGATCTTGCTATTATCTTGCTATTATCTAGCTCTGATCTTCCTATTATCTTGCAATGAGCTTGCTATTATCTAGCTCTGATCTTCCTATTATCTTGCAATGAGCTTGCTATGAGCTTGGTATTATCTTGCTATTATCTTGCTATGATCTTTCTATGATCTTGCTACAATCTTGGTACAATCTTGGTACAATCTTGTATCATGTTGCTATGATCTGATCTTGCTACAATCTTGTATGTTCTTGCTATGATCTTGCTATGATCCTGCTATGATCTTGCTATGATCTTGCTATGATCTTGCTATGATCTTGCTATGATCCTGCTATGATCTTGCTATGATCTTGCTATGATCTTGCTATGATCTTGCTATGATCTTGCTATGATCCTGCTATGATCTTGCTATGATCTTGTTATGATCTTGCTATGATCCTGCTATGACCTTGCTATGATCTTGCTATTATCTTGCTATGATCTTGCTATGATTTTGCTATTATCTTGCTATGATCTTGTATGATCTTGTATGATCTTGCTATGATCTTGCTACAGTCTTGCTACAATCTTGTATGATCTTGCTATGATCTTGCCTAAGATCTTGCTATGATCTTGCTGCTATCTTGCTACTGTCTTGCTATAATCTTGCTATAATCTTGGTATGATCTTGGTATACTTTAATTTTGGTGTGATCTTGCTATGATTCTGCTAAGATCTGGTACATGGTATATGTATTATAATTGCTAATATGAAAATTTATTGGTTTATATATACTTTATTATGGAAATTATATTATATTCCATGGGTAATTAGTATGATAAAATAATTTTAAATATCTGTGTGTTTGGATCATCCAAACAGAAACTCTTAACTAATTGTTAGTAGTAATACTGTAAGTGCAAAGTTAATTAATGATCCAATATGAAATAGCTGTTTTTTTTAATTTGAGGTCTGTGGTAATCAATAATTCTTTGATTGAATATTTTTAATTAATAATTACTCATTGAAGGGCATTTAATCAGGCAAGAGTGCAGAGATAGATTTATCGGTGGACATGTGCATTCATGCTGGTCCTCCCTTAGCCAGCCAGTTGATATTTCTGCAACAATGTGTTAATAAGTTTTATTTAAATTTAAAGCCTATTGTATCACATACATTTCATTTCTGTCTTTTTTATTTTTCAGATCTTATTAGAGATATTCGGGTAAGTATGTTTTCCTGATTCCTCATTAAAAACAGTAGAAAACTTTGGTTGCACAGGCTTTTGTTCATTCCTGTGAGAAAGTTTATTTTAGCACTGGAGTCCCAGCCCATTTCCTTTGCAAATTACATTCTCTCACCAAACACTGTAAACTAACATAATCTCATTGGTTAACTAACATAATCAGATTGCATATTTTGTTATATGGTAGTTGCTCTACAGTATGCAACTATCCATAAAAATGAAATAATGCAGATTATTTTATAATAAAATTTAATTGATTTTCAATTAAAAGTATAATTGCTCTAAATGCTTGTTGAGGGCTAGAAGTATTTAGGTTATAGTGAATGTACATGTAAGCTATTTTATTACCGGTAACTTTGATTATTGGCCTGTAGGACCCAGAGAAAGACCAAACTCTAGAGGAACTCAATGTTGTAGCAGAAAATATGATTCGTGTTAGGAAAACTGGTTGTGATGAATATCTTGTAAACATCTCCTTTACTCCGACAGTTCCTCAATGTTCATTGGCAACCCTTATTGGTAAGATTTTAACAATTAGTTTTGTTTATGTGTAGGAAATCATGGTTAGAATATTAGTTTGGTTGTTTATTTTTAGGCAATAACAATTAGCTATTGCGCCTTGTTTTCCACTTGGAATTCAACGCCTGCATGCCCGCACCATTGAACTGCCTGCATAGGATTACGTATGAGAGTTTTACTGCTTTCACATGGAAACATTTCCCCCCTTACCAGTTACCCCCCATGTGCAATTTCGAGGGTGATGGCTCATATCTCCAATGAGTAAAGTTTTTTACCGTTCTTTAAAAGCGGAGTTGTTCAGCTTAACAAGGTAACTCTAATTTCTTCACCTTTAACTAAGTGCTGCATTTCTTCATTTGGTCAATCTTTCTACAACTTATTTTTTCTGAATTTACCTCCAAGTTATTTTTCTCTTCGAATACTTTAAACCCAAGCTTCACCTATCTTCTCTTTGCCTTTTTTATTTAATGCGCATTAGCTTTTTAGTTGTCCTCTTCGCCCGCAAGGTCTTTATGTATTGTATTTGAAAATTTGATACCTTAATATAGTCACGCTTAGTAAACATGGAGGCCCTTTCAAACCAACCGTTACGCGGCGAAATCGATACGCTGCGACCTTACTGTTTGGAAATTTGAAGCCCAAAAAATCTCATCGGCCTCATCTACTTTTACATTAAAAAGGCTTATTCGATATCACCATCTAAAGCTGCTGGTTAATGAATGGCCCTCATTAAATACATATACATTAGCGACACACTAGTTTGTCGGACTTAGCTGAAGAAGCGCCAAAATAAGTTTGAATGCGGTTTTTTATCCAATCTATCAAAGCTAGATCACCCTCTTCTACAAATGACTCGATCCTCAATTTACAATTACTAGCAACTGGGGGCCTTTGCACATGGAATTTAAAACTTCCGTTTTTGCTCGGAAACAAGGGAGCATTTCAGCAATATATTGTATCCGTATATGTCTTATCGTATCCGTATATGTTTTTGCAATACAACCATTTCACTGACAATAACGATTTTACATTCTTTGCGCAACTTTTGTGACAATGGCAATGGCAGTGCACTTATTTTGGGTAAGATACTGCTACCATGTGCATAGATCCCAATACTTAACTATATATTGTACTCTTATATCCACCTTTAAAAAGGGGTATTGCGGGATCATTCTTCTGATCCCTACCTTGTGCAGGTAAACAGCTTATGTCAATGAAGGTAGCAAAACGGGGGGATCTTCCTCTAAATCGTTTTTTTCCCCACATTTTCCTCCCTTTATAGCTCTTATAGAATATCAGTGGAAATTATTATCACTGACCGCGATTGTTGGCTACACATGCAAGTTTTATCCATAGTCACAATGTCGGACCTTAAACAGTGCATTGATCTGCATGTTATACAGGAAAGGAAAGGTTATTCATCTCAATTATGCATATTTAGGGAGATCGACTTTTAAAAATTATTTCTTGTCTACCCAAAGGAAATTCCCCCTAAAATGCTACGCTACGAATTCGCCAAAATAATAACCGTTTCTATGACTCGATCGTGATAATTATGGTAACAAACACTGCATAGTGTACGGTAATGTCCGCAAAACAAACTGCACTTAACACTCTCGCTATGCCTCTAATTATATAAAAGTGTAAACGCTTAAATTTAAAACTTTTTTGGTTATAGGCTTATGTGTTCGGGTAAAGTTAAACACAACTTTGTCGTGGAGACATAAGGTATGATTTATGAATAAAAAACCCAGGTTATTTTAGATGATTCTTTCGGTAGAAATATACGCATGCAAAATCCTTTCGCCTATTTGAAGCAATTAGGAGATATTTCTCTCTGCGCATGAAAGGTTATTGTACTTATAACCATTGAATGATAGGCTTTCCACAAATTACGCTCTATAAAAGCTTTAAAATCATAACATGTTGACGCGAACGAAAATGTTAATTTAGCCAAACGCATGCTTCCCAATCTCGTTCCCCGAGCCCGCGATCTCCTCTGACGAGGAAGCAAAGGCTATGGGTTAATTAATTGAAACAACTTCAATAGGCCTTTCTTATAACGACGTCAAACGCGGAAAGTCTGATGTTACACGCAGTTTGATTTGCTCGATAGTTTTCTGGAGTTAATCAAACTTCGTGTAACATCAGACTTTCCGCGTTTGACGTCATTATGAATAAGGTCTATTGGCGGACAACTGCATTGCATTTGCATTCCCGGGCGGAATTATTACCATCGTCCGGCGCTCGGGGATTAAATATTATACAGGGCCAAAAAAAGGGTTGTAAACCGACATTAATTAACTGATCGGAATTTTAAAACGGGCGAAAAATATAATTATTTTGTCATACCCGCGAAGAAGTGTTACTTTCGAATAGTATTTATGATTAGATTATTTACTTTTGAATAGTATTTATGATTTAGAAATATGATTATATTAAGTTGTAACTTTTACTACAGCACTATATTCAGAGCTCTTCTGTTAGGTTATTTGTGTTTATAGGTTATTAGGTATTTATATATTTGTCTTTGTATTTGTGTGTGTATAGTTGGACATCTATTTGACGAAAGGAACTCATAACAGCGAAATTGAAAGTATGTACATTCTTATATGCTGATATGCATGCCTGCTGGAGGTTGATAGGTAGACTATTTTCAATCACTCACAATAGCAATCGTACGGTACTCGTACCGCCTTTGTTACAGAATCCGAATAATTGCTAGTGGTGTGGGTTGTACGAGGCGTTTAGCTTAAATGGTGGTTAAGTTCAAAATAGAAACAACTGAGCTGAAATATTTCGATGTAAATAATTTAATTGTCAATGAAAGTACGTAGTAAATGCATAAGATACGAGAAACTCGTCTTAAATTCGCAATTAGACGGATAAATGAGACCAGTTTCTGAAATATCAACACAATTAAGGACGGAACAAGGCGAAGCGAAAAAAATTGTCGTAATAATTCCGATACACTTTTTAGCATTACCTGACCCATACATCACACGTATATAAATCTATCCCATATATCATATTAAGACGGGTTTTTACCATTGAATTCGATTCATTGGCCACACATGCACATGTTAAATAATTACACAGAACATAAACATTCCTATACGTAGAGATGGTGATTCATTACTAGTGTTCAATAACGTTTGTAACTTTTTAGTTAACAAACAGATCAATGACAAAGAGAGAGTTGCAGCAGCAATGGAGAATCCAAATCTTAGAAAAATTGTCGAAGATTGCCTCAAAGAGCCCGAGTAACTGTTTTGTCCCTTTCGTCTTTGAACATCTTCTATCCACTGCTCTAAGAAGATGATAGATATTTTTCAGCTGAAAAAAAACTTATTTTAGTTGAAAATTAGCTTCACGAAAGCTAGAAAGATTTCAAGAATATCAGGTTTTAAATTCAAATTTATATTTAATTACACTTCTAGCGATAAAAATTAATTATCATACGTAGCAAACTTAGACACAAAACTTGCCGGCTCCTATTTTGGATGTGAAAATTCCAAATAGCATCTAATATTCTGTGGCTTCTCGCCGTATTTTTTACAAAAAGTTAGCCTGCATTAACTGATCTGCATATATTAGTTTGTCTGGATGGCTGGAGATTAAAATATGTCTGCATGAGATAAGACCATTAAGATTATAGGTCTCAGAAAACTGCATGCCAACACTTAGTTTCCCGGCAAGTAAATTATGGCGAATGGTGGCGATGGTGAATGGTGAGTCGTTCCTGTACGTGTAACCTATACAGGTCATAGCTTCATAGATGTAATTTAAATATTTAACTAGAAATACATGCACGCAGTAACCCTCGCCATTTCAAACCAAGCAATTAATAATTTCCTGAGCTTGCCAGACTAAAGGCAAAGCTTATTTTATGAAATTACTCAAATTAGTCGATAGAGAGTAAATATGAAGTAAACGAAAAAAGTAAATATAATTAAAAATTGCCCGTTATTTTGCTGCATTATCAAATCAGGCAGTTTATGGATTCTCGCACATTTAGTAAATGTTAATAATTCTGTCTAAATAGTTCAAAATCTTCAAGAACTAAACATCAAATATTATTTCTCGAAATTTCAAACAGTAGTTGCGGTCGACTTTAAATTTTTTTAGTTGCGCTTGCTCTAACAAAATACAAATTTTAATTTCAAAAACATTGGTGTAGTAGCTTTTCATAGCTGTTTATGTCTTTGCAAAATGACATAGCAAGCTAGTATTTGCTCTAATATTTGTGCAAATAAACTGCATGCATGCTGACGGCAAATACGGAATAAACAAAATAGACACCTGCCTTTTCAAGCTCACAGATTATGAATCATTCCTCGTTCACTGTTTTGTCCTTAATCTCTTTAAGTATTTTTAAGCGTTCATTTTTATCCTGTCTTTTAAATAAAGTTTATAAAGTGATTTTACGAAAACTTTTGCGAATGAATGACAGTTAAATTGCTGACGTTCTCATATTTCGTTCTTAGCCAATCAGAAAGTTGCTGATTACCAGCACACTGGTTCATATTTTGCGCATGCGCACAAGTGCCATGATCCTTGAACGTCCATGGTCCATGACATACAATTCGGCAACTTTGGACTCCGATATGTTCTGTCACAATACCCGGGTGTACAATACTCCGAGCGGAATTAGTACCCTCGAAGGCGAAGCCTGAGTTGACTATTCGCTCATAGACAACGAAAGCGAGTTGCCTAATTGTTTTAGTATACACCCTGTACCTAGATATATTAATTTCGAGAAAATAATCGATACACCGCAATTACACCGAAAAATGATTTAATTAAGGTGGCTCGGAACAGTTTTCAAGAATTCTATTGTTCATCACTTTGACACGTTCAAACAACGCATTTTTATGATTTATTCCAGAGATATTCGGGGTTTTATATATTTTGATGTCTCTACTTTTGAATCGTATTAGTTTTAGTAACAGATCGTCCATTGCTATGGTGACATACGTGTACAAAATTCACTCCAAAATGACCAATTGCCTCGGATAGTTGGAAAACAAGCACGGTGACCCCCAATTTTTTTTCGTTTATTATTTTACTTAAAAGAAAAACTAACAATTAGCAAAATATAAAAAAATTCTTTAATGCCAAATTTTTGAAAAATGTAAAAATGTCATTTTTTTCGATAATTTTTTTTGCCATTATAGAATTTTTTTATATTTTGCTAATTGTTAGTTTTTCTTCCAAGTAAAATAATGCACGAAAAAAAATTGGGGGTCACTGTTCTTGTTTTCCAACTATCCGAGGCAATTGGCCATTTTGGAGTGAATTTTGTACACGTATGTCGCCATAGCAACGGGCGATTTGTTACTAAAACTAATACGATTCAAAAGCAGAAACTTCAAAATATATAAAAACCCCAATATCTTTAGAATAAATCATAAAAATGCGTTGTTTAAACATGTCAAAGTGATGAACGATGGAATTTTTGAAAACTGTATCGAGCCATCTTAACTTAATTTTATACGGTCGCGCGAGCGAATTTTTCCCAAACGTTCACCATCACGAATAGATAATGGTTGAGTAGCCAATCAGAATGTAGGATTTGTAATAGACAATAGTTAGGTGTATACTAAAACTGTATAGAAACACGGAAATTTTCCCGCCGAACTTGACAAGCGAACTGATGTTATGAGAATTTGTAATTGAATCGAACTCTAATATATGTACAAAATCCTTTCATTGAGTAATTATAAAAGAAATTGAAAATATTTTTTCCTGTGTTTCTATACAGTTATAGAAACACTTAATTGTGGGAGTTTGGGAGAACTCGAAAAACGTGGAAAAACTCGCCCGTCCCACTGATTATTTCTCGTTCTCCCGAACTCCCACGCGTGTTGCTATAACTGTATAGAAACACGGAATATGTTTTCTGTATCTTAATGAGTAGACAGCTAGACAACATGCTGCTGTTAAAAAATGAGAACTTTATTTTCATAAATAAATATTTGCTTCCATTTTTTAATATCTACATATTCAAATGTCTTAAATTTTCGAAATATGCATTACGGTCTGCTATTCATGGTACCACAAATCGCTTGATTCTTAACTTGAACAAAAGTCAAAAGCTGAAGAAAATCTGAAAGTATCGAGAGGAAACTCGGCAACACGATGAATGTGTCTATAATCATTGCTATTATCGTGGCATGTTGTGCCATGTTTTATGCCTACATTCTTCAGCCATATATTGCCGGTTGTGTCTGCACAAGTGAAGCAAAACTTGAAGGAAAGACAGTCATCATTACGGGCTCCAACACAGGAATTGGAAAGGAAGCAGCGTTGGATCTGGCTAAAAGAGGCGCTCGAGTTATCTTAGCCTGTCGTAATCTGACAAAAGCTGAAGCGGCTCGGCAGGAAATCGTTGCGAAAACTAAGAATACAAATGTTCTCTCCACGCATTTAGATCTCGCCTCTCTGACATCCGTACGTGCGTTCGCGGCAGACATAAGTCGCAACGAACCTCGACTTGATGTGTTAATTAACAATGCTGGAATTTTGGGTTCGAACACGTTAATGAAAACGAAAGATGGTTTTGAAATGACTATGCATGGGCGTGAATCATTTGGGCCACTTCTTGTTGACGAACCTTCTTTCCCTCTCGAGTAATTGTTGTGACTTCCCTAACTCATCGATATCCAAAAACAATCGGCTTTGACTTTGAGAACATAAACGCGGAAATATCTTACAAATATTTAGACGCCTATGGTAGAAGTAAACTGGCGAATATATTGTTTGCAAGAGAACTAGCAAAGCGCTTAGAGGATACCGGTGTTACGGCGAATTCCCTTCATCCTGGTGTAATACCAACTGGAATAACCCAGAATGTTCCAGGTTGGTGGCATGAGATATTTCACTCACGTATTTTGTCGTATTTCACAAAGACGACAGAACAAGGCGCTCAAACTATTATTCACCTCGCGGTTGCGGAAGAGTTAGAAGGAGTTAGCGGCTCGTATTTCGCAGATTGTAAACCGGAAATTCCTTCGGATTCAGCACAGGACGACCAAGCAGCAACGAAACTGTGGGAAGTCCGTGCAAAACTTGTTGGATTGGATAACTAATAACGTTTAATAATTAAGGTATAGACTATAGTAGAAGGATAATAATCCAGGCATGTTTTTTCTTAACGCAAATAATGGTTATATTTAAGATTTTAGCGATGAGAAATAGTCCGCTGAAGTAAATTTTCTTTTTTGTGCATTCAAAGTCCGTCATTTGACTGCACACGCACACACCACCCTCGACATGTTCATAATACTGGAAAACATGAATACCAGGCATATTAGTAAGCACTGACCTTAGTTTTCAATTGATGCAGTAATATAGACTAGACGCTAAATGTATATTATTCCAAAGACCTAAATAATTTTTTAGTTTTAGTAAATTCGTCTGTAGTATTATTTGAAGTAGTTAGTTAATCGGTCTCTAGGCTAAATAGTGTTACATTTTCGACATGTAATCGAACTAGGAAAAGAGACAAGGACAGTTAGAAAAAAATCAGTTATCTAACGAAGATTGTGTCAATGCAGGATATTATAATAAGTCGTTAAAATATTTTCATTAACTGCCTTCACACTATTGGGAAAATAAAAGTTGGTTCTCTCCACGTATTCGATCATATAGTTTCTCAATTATAACTGTAAATCTTTTTTATCATGGCAAGGATTTTTTTTCACAGTATTTCAATATCTAGAAGTGTTCGTTATTAATTGGAGCACCAGGAGGAGTTCGAGAGGGACAATTTTTCCGGTCCTAGAATTCAACAGGAATAGAACTAAACTATTTTTTTACATGTATTTAGTCCTCTTTATGTAAAAGGAAAATAATTTTTTGTTTTTTATAAATTTCAAGTAAACTATTTTTAAAATATATGTAGTCCTCTTTCCGTAGGAGGAAAATAAATGTTTGTTTTTTATAAATTTCAGATAACGTAGCATATTATATTTGTTATTGTGAAAAATCTAACCCCAAAACAAAAGGGAAAACCCTGGGTACGAGGTTGAGCGAATGGTATCTGCTTGCTGTACACTAAATTTTAATATTTTTATGTGATACAGCAGTGGTAATATATCTTTCCTCAAAATAACCCTGGCCTGCATGTGTTATTGCATTGCATTAATATACTCTGACTTTTTGCCTTTAGGAATTGGGGCCGACAATCTTTGAATCCTCGAAAAAATTTATTTAAACCCCAAAGAATTATAATTTTACCGAGTCATAAAAATCTTCTGTGTGGCTGCGCGTACTTGCTAACGTTCTGGCTTCTAATGCTAGTTTGAAATACGAGAGTCGCGAACGTGAAAAACAATTATCGTAGATGTGGTGGCCAAGATGTTTTTAAAGTGTTGAATACCATAAGAATTTTTCTCATTTTTATCAAATTGAACATAGGTATTCAATTACGTTGCCGGAAAAGCAATATTGAGGCATTTGAGGATACTTCGGTTGGCCGCTCAAGAATTAGTCTTGCGGCTCGTTTCTCTGGGTTTACTAGGCATGTTATTAATTTCCTCAGAGTGTGCAAGATAGTGCACCACAGCAACAGCATAGTAGATATGGGCAGATAAATTAGTTCAAAGTAAAATTGAATACGGCGTTGAAAAATAAGGTAACTGCGCATGCGTTTTAACAGATAGAGTCTGGAGTTTATTATATTGTAAATAATGTGAATTTGCTTATCCCGATCCCATTTCAAATATTGGTCAAATGTGACTCCAGATAGAATAGCGGAAATAATCTCCAGGATAATATTGTTGTTGATCTCAATTAATAGTTATTGGGTCAAGTTCTGGAAATTTATTGGGTTGGGAATATATTTTCATAATTTTAGTATAATAATATTAATTATAGGATTATAATAATTATAGAGACATCTTCGACAGATCGATCTTCGAGCACAAACCCTCTCTTCACACGGCCCGTAAGATAATGTTATATTTCTGCCTTTCCTTTACTGGCTCACCGCTCACACTCCCTCCAGATTCGCACTCAAATCACCCGATTTTGCAATACTGCTCATCCGCATCTGAATATACGGTTTGTTTTTCGCTCGTCTACACGCGTATCCTCTTTCGTTCCTTTTAAGACGCTCATATACAATCGAATCGCTTTTGCCCGTCCACACGAAGCTTATTCGAATCGCTTTTGCCCGTCCATGCACGTAAACGCTAAAACGAAGGAAATTTGATAGCGCCAGGCGTAGAACATGCGCATTTCCAAGTAATATGAGCGCTTCCAAACGATCGCAGGGCTCGAATGGCAATAATGTTGCGCGCCTAGATAACAATTATGTTAATTTGGCGGAATTTAAAAACAATTCCGCGTATTTGCTTTGGGTTCGCTTTATGCTCGCTCTTTCTTGAATTAAAATGAATAAATCACCAAAATCATCATAATAGTCATTCGCTTTTAAAACACTCTCCGTGCAGGTTTAACATGGTAACATGAAGCCGAATGCATGCTATTAGACTTGAAATTATGACATAGGCCAAAGTAAAATAGCCAAGCTATTTCAGTTCACCATCTTGAAGAGACACAAAACACGCGCCGTTTATGGCCCGTTTTAGACTGGAACCGATTATCAACGTCATCAAATTCGAAAACTTCCGTTTTCGCCGTCCCCATGCAGGAAAACACGAAACCGGCGTTTTCGAAAAACTCCACTCTGGAGAACCGGTTACGTGTGGACGCAAGGCAAAACGGATAAAAAACCTCCGTTTTTTAAAATACCCGGATACGTGTGAACGGAGCCTTATATGCATTCAAATTTCATGTTGTTACCATTAGTCTAAAGATGTCGTTATAAAGGCTACACGTTACCATGCAATATAATTCTCTCAAATAATTTTAAACTGTGTTGAATGGCTTTGCTAAAAGCACAGTTAATGCTGGAAATGGAAGTACTCTTCTAATAACTGAAATGGAACTCTTATATAAGAATACTGAAAGGATATGTATTTAATATTTTGCTATCATCATTGGACGAAACTCACAGCAGTCCCGTCGACAATGGTTAATTCGTGCCTTATCCTTAACTTTTTGTAAACGAGACTTGACTTTCTCTGCAGCCTAGGCACTTACTACATTTTTTGAACAACCTTATCAGCCTAATCAGCCACTGCCAATTTCCCCTGTTTGACAAAAATTCCCGGCGAGCGTTCCGCTACAGTTTCCGTGGATTTTGCCAGTTTATTTAGGTCGGTGTTCATGCGGTCTGCAAGGACAGCAATACTAATAGCTGTGAGTTTTTTCTTCTGACACCATCCAGGGTAATTAATTTAGGTATTAGTGATAGTACCTAAAGGCTGCAGCCATATTTGTCGAAAGCGGACCATTGAAAAAGTTTAATAAAAATAAATTTCAAAAGGACTTAGAACAAGCGATTTTACAAATTGAGTACACATCCTTTTACATGTCTGACGTTGACAAAGGAAGGATATTTTTCGTCAATTCGTGCACTATTCAGATTCAGAACAGTAAGAACCCGATGAAAAATTAGCCTGGAAATGATGTATTCGAGCAGTTGTAATTCAAATAAAATATACGATATATTTCGAATTCCTTCACGAAAGATCACCACAGCTCTCGACCAATAAAAACGCGTGAAATCGTTTAACTATTATATAAGAATTACCACATTATCGTTTAAAAACAATTTATTCGGAATATTGATAAAAACTAATATACATTGCTTTAAAAAGATTGGTTAAAACTAAATTTAGCCTTCTAATTGACATACTGTATTTGAGCAGGCACGCTCGGGTTGGAATTGGAAAAATTCAGAAAATTATACATGAAAATATTTTGACTTATCTTAAGGTGTATATATTTATAATTTCTATATCTTCAGAAACCATCTTGCAACGTCTTTCGTGTTGAATTTTCCCCAATCGTTTTCTCCGTCCTAGTAAACACACTTAACGTTAATATCGTACTAGATTTCCCGCCCTTATTCACAGACCAGTACAATTAAATAAAAAAGGCCGATTGTACGAAATCTAGAAAGCGCTAATCGCCGGTTAGCGTTTTTTCAATCGTTCAAAAATAGCCCGTTGTTTGGTATATAATATGGCTTTAGACTTTAGTATTCCTAAGTTGAAAATTGTTTTTACAAAATGTTAGCATAAAAACTGTAGTTTTATCGCTTAAATTTATTAATGCAACATTTGATGTATATAAGGTGACGTCACGGAAATATAAAACACGCGCAATGAGGCCTGGAGATTAGGCTAGTTTCAACAAAACCTTGCCACACCCTGGGAAATCGGAATAAATTATTGAAAAATTTTAGTACTCAGGTTGCGGCGTCGTGTCCTCCGATAAGACAATTTCTCAATCAACTAAAAGCGTTTTTAAACAATTGCATACCTTTATTAGCGTTTGGCTAATCTCTGTCGTTCAAATCTCTGCTCCATTTCCTCTAACACTTAAAAAATAGATAATAATACCGACTTAATATCGTTGTTTTCGATATATATGCTGCGCAGATATCGTAGACAGAGGCAAGTATATAAGAGTGTCGATGGCTCAGCTGATAGGTAGATTATCGCTGTGCAGTTACGTACACAGACAAGCGCAGCGGTGAGGCAACCCATGCATCGTACATTTGAAGCTTTCAACACTTTGAACACCTTATAACCACAGCCACATCGCAATTTTGAAAAAATGCCAACGTAATGTATGCGGGAAAACAAAAAATACACTGAAAGTTCACATGTATGTACTCACGTTTAGGCGTATATTTCACAACTAGTCGGACTTTTCCTGGAATAAAAAGAGACACGGAATATTAATAACCGGGTATATATTACTTCTAGATATCCGAAATAAAATATAAATGTTTTAACCAACTTCGACTGTTGAGTATAAAGAATTTGCCCACATTAGAACAACTTTTTAAAAACGAGCAATATGGTCAAAAGGTTTTAGTCTATGGCTGATACAGGTAAGCTAACCATATACAATATACGACAACCAAATGCAATTTTAATTAATCATGCGCGTCATCATATGTATATCCATGTTCTATAAATAGTTTGTAGCTGCATGCATTCTATTTAGCATAGATGATCTATTTCAGGGTAGAAAGATTAACATTATAGCATATATAGGCGACAAAATTTAGCAGTTCAGGATTTGTGGCTAGGTCGACGGTTTTGTTTTTAAGCGTGGTGATTTTCAAGACTTTTATCCCCCCCCCCCCCATGGCGGTCATTTTACTTTAAAACAGTTCGGATAATCTGTCCTATATAATCTATATTTCTTTACAGCTTTCAAACTACAGCTCCTACACATATAATGCATACATGTAGATATGATATGTATTACCTTCCGCAGCTTTAAGAAGGTCCACAGCTTTCTCGTGATTCTCGCCTTCGACGCTCTATAAACCAAAACGACATTGCGTAAAATGAAGACGTGTTAAAGATAATAAATATTCCATTGAGATCCTCATCGCATTTCGTTTCATGAACGACTATTCCCACTACGCATATTAGATATCCAAATTTTGTTTGTGGTAATTTTCAAGCCTTTTTTTCACTGATGTGCACTAATTTTAAACCTTTATGAAAGCGGACACCACTATTTAAAGGAAGTGTGTGCAGTCGAATTTGGGCATCGGTTCTGCCGAGAATTTGAAAATTGCTTAAATTTCGCATGTTTCAGGAAAAAGCCTTTAAACCGTAACGATGTAAACAAAAGGTTTGTTTACATCACGACTGAATATCATCTTTAATGTTGCGCTTGGCAATAAGATGGCTTATCATCATATCGTAATGCTTGCTTCTTAAAATACAGCTTCTACTCCTAAGGTGATAATGAACGACGTTATGTAGAAAATGAAAAAAGCCTTACCACGCCATTAACTGAAAGAAGTTGATCCCCTCGTTTCAAAGCGCCGTGTCTAAATATCACCGTAACAAAAACAAAAACAGAAATTTAACAATAATACAAAGAAAAATTATGGCGGTCAATCACTTAAATCTGTGTAACCTGCATACAGAAAATACCACTGCACTTTATTTTGCACGGATACGCTCAACCAAATCTCACCTGATAACCAAACCCTATACCTGATAACAGAATCTTCGCATATACCCCAAAGTTTATAGATTTCGTTTAAAAAAATTTCCTCGACAATCGACGCTTGTGTATAATGACTCTCCTTGTTAGAGTAAATACTTTTCGATTCACCAAAATCGTGTCAAATGAATAAGAGGCGTACACAAATGACAAGTTATGCTTTGAATGGTTTGGCGCTTTCAAACAAACACTCTCGAATATTTTTGCATTAAAGAAAATCTGCAATGAAGACCATAATTTGTACGTAGCTGCATACGCGTAAAGTTATAAAAATTAATCTTACATTGATTTGCATTTTTATACGTTTGTCCCTAAATCTCGGCACTTGCGCAATGCTAGAATTTGCATTGAAATGATGTACTCGTTATTAGAAAGCATAAATGTTGCATCCAGCTCATATGTCACCGATGAACGAAGTGCTTTGGTACTTCGTCACCAGCCACAAACTATAGGGAGATTTAGCAATGAGACCGAGTACGACTACGAGTACGCGATTCGTTATTAGGGAGCTTTAGCAGTGACTACGAGTACGACTACGAGTACGAGATTCGTCATTCTCGCGCGTTGTTTGCTTACGCCATCAGCCAAAACTCGTAGTCGTTGGACTTTTGAGTACGAGTTTGTTGGTAAATTTCGTACTCGAAAGCCCAACGACGAGTTTTGGCAGATGGCGTGAGCAAACAACGCGCGAGAATGACGAATTTTGTATTCGTACTTTCGTAGTCACAGAATACGTCGCAAACTGACGGTGACAAATGATAGTCTCATTCCAGGCTTTACAGCGAGAAAACTTTTATTTAGTGCAAGTGCGTGCAAAAAGCAAGTGCGCAGGGAAGCTTTCGTTTATGACGAGCTGTAAAGTTCTGGAATGCATCAAACACCTGTGATCGTAGCAAAGCAGCAAGTTATTGTTAATTATAAAAGCATTCGAATCGCAGCGCTCCTAGACATATAGCACAGAAATTATTAGTCGCATGCGCACGTCCAATTCGGAATCAGCAACGAAGTGTAACTTACCTGTCAGCGACTCCCCCCGGAATGATTCGGGATATATATATTGGCGATGATTGTTCTTTCCCGCCCATTACGTTAAATCCAAGACCTTCATCGTTCTAGGAAAAAAGTGCAAAAAATATCTCAAACTATGTTTTCTAGATGAACACGTAATTATAGGAGAGTCCTGGGAGTAAACATTATATACTTAGCTAGGGTATAACAACTGTGTAAAATAGACAAAACCACTTCTCGACGTTTCGACCTGAGGGTTTCCTATATTCTTTCCTGACGAAGGCCCTCAGGTGGAAACGTCGAGAAGTGTTTTTCTCGATTCGAGGTAGTAGTTACCACATTTGATGCTAAGTTATTTGAAGACGCTACCACGCTGCTCCCGGGTTATATTGGAACGTATATATACTTACGGGGTTAATATTACTACTAATTTCATTATGTGAGATGTAGGTAAAGAGATTCACGCAAAACAGAATGTTGGAATCAATCCGTTCTTCACTCTGTAACTCAACTTTATGTAATTTGATTGGGTGAACTGCACGATTCTTTCCACTAAATAGCTTTATAGGCTATGTGAACACGGTAGGACAACACGGTAACATTTTCGAGCGTTTTCATTTTCGCTTTCATAGCTACCAAAACGGTATCAAACACCGTGAATTTACAATAGAAGATGAAGATAATTTAACATATTGAGCATATTTCCCCTTAGATGGGGTGGATAAGGCACAAAAGCGATAAACAAAATAAAAACGATTTTGACAACGCTCGAAAACGACGCTCGTGTGCACATAGCCATAGTTTGACGTGTTACTCTTCAACCGGAAAACGCGGCTCGACATTCAGATTTCGCCGTTTCACATTTGTGGTTTACGGAGAGTTGGAAATGTAATTTCACGTAGCTCATTTGCCTCAACGTTTTGCCCTTTCAATTGTGTCTCGTTTTACGTAAGACCAGCCGTATTATGCATAGTGGGTATTTAAATTTTGTGTTTGGTAATTTTCTTTATAACCTGTTTTCAATAAGCTTGACAGATTCTCTTTAAAAGCAGATACAAGTACTGTACAATATAACCTTTAATTATCCCGAGACATCTTCCATTTTTTTCCCATAACGTTTGTGCAATTTTCATTTATATGCATTCGTTTTCAAGGATCACAAACCAACACCTTAGCTACGCTCGCTTGTTCGTTTTGCGATCCTTCACAACTCGTGCTGACAAAAATCGTACGTAAACTAGCCAATCATGAAGTAATCTCTTTTTACTTATAATCTAACTGCAGGTCTGGGGCCGGCTGTTCGAAAGGTGATGAAAGTAATCCACTGAAATTTTTCAACCGTCGTAAAAATGCTTTAAAATGTTATAAAGCTACATATATCAACTTCATTTTAACTTTAAAAGTGTGAAGTTGGCCATGCTAAAGAGTGGATATTTTTTTAACGTTCGAAATAATCACTATCCATGCAAGGGTTTCCTATATCCATCTTTTGAACAACCGGCCCCTGGCTGACTTAATGTAACAAAGCCCCGGATCATTACAACAGATGAATATCACGGTACTGAAATCATGCACTGATATGTACACAATACAGTGTGTGTGTATATAGCCAGCTGCTACTGAAGAAAGCGTTGAAAACTTCATAATAAATATATGGGACCTCATTGAGAGATGAGGAGTAAGTATCTTACCTTAGGAATTTCCACAACTCTTGGATAAGCGTAACCTTCGCTCGCCGCAAACGCAGCCACTGTTGCCTAGACGTATAAGAATAAACGTAAATATTTCATTTGTTGTACTGTATATAGAGCCTTTTATAATTCGCTCGTTATTTCATATTTCCTTTCAATCTTGTTTTACATCATAATGACTACGATTATATTGTTATCGTGGTACAGTAAATAAGAAACATAGTAAAATCGATTTCCACCTCAGGTACAGTGTGTATGTGTGGATCAAACTCTTAACGCAATACTGCAGTTAAACATTTGCAGAGTAGCCTTCTGCATGAAATGGTTTTTAGGTTATAAGGTAGTTATAAAAAGCGGTCTCCATGGAGTGGCTCCCAGATGTGGTTAGAAAAAGCAAATAGTAAAAGGAATTTCCATCGAAAAGTTTCCAATGGAAACTCGTTGTACCATTTGCTTTTGCGACCGAGATGTTCGATCCCCAAGATGCAAGGTACCCCACAAATACATACAGTATGTAGGTAAAACTTTATTTAATCAATCCCCTCATCCTAATCCGTAAAAGGAAAATGGTAAGCACTCCAGTTGTATAGCGTTATTCCTCGCGGATAGAGATTTTTCAAACGATGCTTAAAAAGCAATAAATCCACCCTAATCCGTACCTTGGCTGTCGCCGAGGCTCGAACCTCGGGAGATCCACCAATGTCTACTGTGTCATACACATGCTCGTATACTTCGCGAATTGACGTACAAAACTCACTCTCGAGGACTCTTTGCAGTGCTTGTAGTTTATCTACCGGAACCTCGCCACCTTTAACAATAAAAATTTTATCAGCGGGTCATATTGTAGCTATGTATGGATTTGTTCACTGGTAGCAAATATTTGCAACAGTCGTTGAACCATCAATACTGTTTCAACTTGTTAAGAACTACGTTAACATGTTGCAACAACGCTGATCATTCAACAAGGTTCAACGACATTGTTAACAAATAATGTTCAACCGGTGCAACACAACATTGTTCAACCTGATCAATTTTTGCCTGTGTAGTATGTACAGTACTGTATAAGATGCCTGGAACCGGTTGTATCAAGCCCGTTTAGCTTAAACGGTGGTTAAGTTCAAAATAGAAAGCAAGTCTATCGTTTTATTCAACTAACAAAATAAATGTTTTTAACCTTAATACAAAGATACTGTTTACAACTACATATTCAGTGCATAATATTCAAGTTGACTCATTCAAGAGAGATGTAAGAGTGTTATTTAAATTTGACTTATCCACCGTTTAAGCTAAACGGGCTTGATACAACCGGCCCCTGGACTGTAATAAGGGGCAATGAGTTTTTAATTGCTGATTAAGGCAAATGTGAGAATAAATTAGTGGGATTTGCAGGCCCATTCCCAAAACGACTTTGTCGCTTTTATTAACTTTAACTTCACTTATGTGGTACAAATTGCCGAATCAACATGCAAGTTTGAAATCAAAATTTTACATTAATAGTATATGATTTGAGGCATTAGGGATCCACAAATTGATCTGAAAAGTCAATACTTGATACTATGAATTTTGACGCTTCTCAGGAAGAACATCAATTTAATGGTGATGAGAAATGCATCATTAAATAAATTGTTTATGTATGTATGTATGTAACTTTCCTTTCCTCCTCCAGAAAAGTGAGATAACATAAATGCTTGAACACATAGTGGTATGTGTATACTGTAAAATCATTGTGATAAAATTGTTTCTTTGATTTTTAGTTGTTGTCTGGTGTTACAGGGTTTGATCTGATCTAGGGTCACTCAGAAGCAGTACTTTATTTATTAATTGTACATGTATGTGTACATGTAGGCTATGTTTTACATCTGGGGACTGAAATTCAGGACACAGCTGGAAAGATGGGTTAAGGGCTGTTGAACACTAGTTAATATTCAAACAGGACATTTTATCTTTTAATACTCGGCAAAGGTAAATTTTTTGCTTGCAGGCTCTGAAGGTTCGTACAGTGCTTGTACTCAGTGGAATCTGACAAAACACAACCACATTATATATTTCAAGTTCCATTCTATTGTATGCCTTATTTTACGAAAAAAACATGAATTTACTTACTTTGTTGAAGTTTCTCAAGAAGCTCAATAGCACGATTCACATCTAAAGTAAAAGCATATATTATATCTTATGATTTTATTTAAAACAAGGCTGCAATTACTTTCTGCTACGGTAATTTGTTTTTTAAATCTTAAGTGGAAATGAAGTCCATTCTGTGCATCGGTTCTGCCCATAACAATGGAGGGGGCCACTCTATAAATATTTGCCCAAATTTTAAAGTGTAGAGAACCTAAATTCCAAAGTGTAAAGAACCTAAATACAGTCATTAGCACATATTAACACAGCCATTGCATTTTAAAAAGTATAGAAGTTCCAAATGTAAACAAACCGACTTGACTGCCATGCACTTTAAACATTATTTAATCTATTCTACGACAACATTGATGTATAACAATTCCACTGGAACTCACATTTTACATCATTTTTAACAGGGCAGTGTACTTAATCTCCCGACCCAATATAACAAAGGGATATTTCATACTCCCAGTTTAACACAAGCCGTTAAATGTTGATATCATGATGATTTTCAATATATAATATAATAATAATTAATACATGCAGTGATGGCTGTGATGTTTTAATTCATTGAAGAAGAAATTAGATGGACTGGCCACTTCTATTTTACAATATGAATTACAGAATTAAAAGCCACAAAACTGAAAAATTGATTAGATTTATGAACTTAAAAACTGAAAAATCTATCACACAAAGCCCATATTGCTTGACATAGCTGCAAACACTTCTCAGCTGCCATATACTGTATATACTCTGTCATATAACAATTTATATTAACTCAGCATGTGGATTACCCTTTAGTTGCTTCCACATGCTAAAAGCCATTAAAATAAAATGATCTTCTGTTAATTGGGACAATAATATTACGAAGTGGAGATTCATACAGTCAGAGAATGTAATTTAATTGTAAACACTATAGCAGAGAAAGTACATAGCTTTAAAATTTTAGCAATAAATTTTAGCAATGTTAGCAAAATAAATTGTTTTAAATGTTGACTTGCACCACAAGAAAGGAATCTGGAATAGATGCCATGATATACCAGAGTAGTCAACATACTAAATGGCTTCCATTGTTAAGCGAATCAAGTGGAAAATCTAAAACATTTAGAACTGTTTACAAATCCTTGAGCAGCTGTAGAATAAAATCAAACAGAAAATACAGCTTAGGGCCTGTGTGAAAATGATTTGAAATGCCTAATGATAAACCATTGAATACGATATGTCATAAATTAAAAAGTATCGAGGTTATGTGGACGAAAGGTCGATGATCAATCAGTGCAGGTCTAAGAGACAGACATACACAAAAAGTATCAAAATATAGCATACAGTAGTTAGTATACTGATTGTTACAAACCTCTAACCAACGTTAATGGTGCTGCTTCAACTTGTTGTGCCATCGTCTACAACTAAGCTTCAAGTATGCAGAAACAGCTGTTGAAAACTAGCTATTGAAAACTCGAAATAATCGTTGAATATTTTCAAATCTGTGTTTCAAGGTTTAGACGATTCGATTTTCACATAAAAGATTAGGCATAATACCTCAAAGGTCACGTGACTCATTTTAAGCATATTTATTTAACCACTATTAAGGTGGCTCAGTAGAGTATTTCTAAGGGCCTGTTTATATGATCCCGCCTAGCCGGGACGGGACAGTTTCCGAGATCCCGCTTGTAATACAAACACTAATTAGTGTTTATGTGACCACTTTTCCATCCCGCCTAGGCGGGATCCCGGCACTTCTTGCCGGGATCCCGCTTAGACGGGACGAGAAATTGCCATATAAACACTCCATCCCGCTTGGCCGGAATGATTCGCGATTAACATGTGTATATATTGGCATATTCGTTTTCTACAATAAAACATGCCGTCGAAGGAACCTGCACTACAAAATGAACTGCATATAAACACGCCATCCCGCCTAGGCGAGTTTCCCGGCTAAGCGGGATGAAAACATCCCGTCCCGGCTAGACGCGGGATCATATAAACAGGTCCTAAAAGAGGAAATTATCTTGTTGTAGTTTCGGAAAAAACATTTGCAGCCCACAATCAAAAGTCTCAAATTGAGACGACTCACGGATGCACGATTATAGCGACAATAGCCGATTAATTGTTGGCTAGTAGATTCCCAGATAAACAAGTTTTTAATACTAAGCGCGCGAAGCAGGTCCATGGGTCAAAAATGGTATAAAGATTTATAATATGTGCATCGAGATTTGAAGATACGAACAAAGTGATTATTGCATATATTTGGTGATGGTATATTCATTATTGATACGGATATGATATACGATTTTGAGGCACTTCACGCGATGTATGTAGGTAAATTCTTAAAGTTTTCTTGGCGTCATAATCAGTTCGCGTGGAATCATAAACAACTCAATTCAAGCAAGGAACAGTTGAGAAAAATTAGTCAACTATCGGTCCTCCGGCAGGAATCGAAGGCTACGCTTATACGATGCCGTGCAATGCCCTTGCCACTGAGCTACAGGGTAGCTGAAGTGTCACGAGAACGTAATTGATTTCAGTACCCTCACCTATTCTCGGCCAACCCAGAATCAAGGTAAAAGGCCCTGGGAACGAGGTTGATTCTCGGCATACACACCAACCACGCTTTCTCTTGTCCTTTCTACTGGCTTTGGTGGATATACTAAATTATGTAAAAAAGACGGGCAAGATTTCCTTGACAATTTTTCCTTGCCAAGTTTTATTTACTCGTGTGCACGCGAAAAAATTGACAATTTTTCCTTCACAGGGAGCCTTGTCAAAAACTTAGCCATGCCAGCTTTTAAACAAGGAAAAATGCTGGAGTGTATGACCGTCAAGGAAAACTTGACAAGGAATTGCGCAGTAGGGAACAGCGCAACAATTTTCGAGCCAGTCGAGCGGGGTTTTGAAGTTTTTCAATTTCTGTTTGTTTTGATATTCGGTCGTATATTCATTTTATCATGGGTCATATTATACTCATATTATCGTAAAACTTGTCAAGAAAAATTTGTCAAATTTTTGGGGTACACACGAGCAAATAAAACTTGCTGAAATGGCATGCAGTGTAAGTGTGTATAAGGCTGTGTCCATTGTCATTTAGTCAAAACAAAATTAGACAAGTCTTCGAAAATAGTTGAGATTGCATGGATAGTGTTGCAGAAGGGGTATATAGATATAAAAGGGCATAAGTATATATCTATATTTCGCGCGCAAAATTTCAGCATTTTGTTTCAAAAAGCATATATTGTACTGCATTGGAAAAGCGACCACCTTTCAACATTTTATCTATATCAATTTCATTTAAACTTAATGCTCCCGAGGGAAATAGTGAGTTTTTTTTCCCAAGAGTCTGAATGTTTCGAGGGAGACATTGAGACTGGAGTGACTGAAACAAAACTCACTCTTTCCCGGGTTAGTGTACATTAAGTGCCTTGTTATATAGGAACAAAAACATACGTGTTACGCAACAATTTCATGCATTTCAAAAAAATCCACTTTACTTTGTTATGACAAGAAGCGGGAAACAATATTTCACTCGTGTCCCTGGCGGGAAACATTGCATCATTTAAAGTTGTGTGACTACGAATGAACTAATAACATTTTAAAATACGCAGCACCTATATAACAAAATAATGTAATATATATAGATGCATGTGCTATAGCGTTTATTACTGTCATTTTACTGAGTTAACATGTTGATTATCGCGCGATAGCATTGCGTAAATTACTTTGCATTATATTATTTGGTGCGAGATTTGGTGTTCCATGACAGGCACTGATTTAAAAACACTATTTTCTCAATTACTTTGTATAAAGAAATTTTTTGGGAGAGAAAAAACATAGTTTCCACTATATATAAATAAATAAAATACCCATTTTAATCTGTGCATGTGCATGATCATAACAGCTGTACAAAATTTTTGCCGTGCAGTTAGTTAAAGGTTAATTGCCCTCTCACCCAACTTCGCCATTTTTATGTCAGCCATTTAACTCGTTGCCTAGACGACATTCAAATTGTCGCTATAAACAGTTGTTCGCTATACCTTTCCTCATGCACCAATATTTCCTATATAGTTTCGTCTGCAAGTAGAAATACACACTGAGAAAAAGTTCTAAATAATCATGTCCTTTTCCCATGCTCAGCTGACACAAAATTTGCAATACTTTCAATTGTTGTTGCCATAGCTACAAATATATAAACCATACTTGGGTAAAAGTTAATATAGAATTTGTGTTTTGGATCAAAAATATAATATATTACAGTGGGGGGAACGTATATTTATTATTGTAAGGTATTTTAGCTTCACGACGTGGTCACTTATTAGGGACCTTAAGCATGTAGGATGGGAATACGACGACGGCAGCTATATCAATACCATTAATGGTTCATTGAAAAGAAATGATTAATCAAAGACCTATCTGATCAGTCTTGCCAGTGTTAAAACAGCTTTCCACCGTCGCGTTTTTAGCACGTACGTATACAAGCACGCAAAAGTTAGAAACAGCCCTTAGCCGTGGTCCACCTTCTACATGCAAAACGTCGTTTATCAGGTCCTGTGTAAAACGTTTACATTCCAAGACCCAGCGAACGTTAGCTACCACGAATCCTTAAGGCTCTATGGAATTGTCCCTAAGCGTTACCACAATGTTTTCAACCTCTTATTTCTCAGTACATTGGTATACAGTTGATAATATCATGCAACAAACGCTTTATACTATAACATTTACTGACAGGAGTATACAACTTTTTTATTACATGGATGGGGGTATTTTACCGAGAATTAAAACGCTCGTAGAACTCATATACAGAATGATACTTTGATAGGTAAAACTGCCATGGCACTTGAAAATTCATCATCGCCGTCCTCACGGACTTGGACATAGTCAAATGGGTCTCTTCAACATACTTTGCAAAGACACTTCGTGCTGTAATGGGCTGCTGTTAGGCTTTGTAGAGGTCTTTGAGGATGGTGCCAGACTCAGCAACTCTCTTTTGTTGAGTGTCAAGTACACCACTCTCTGTGTCCTGAGGTCGCTTGCGGGACCTTCCAGCGGTAGATGATGGTATTAGAGTGACTTCATTTAAGACATCCTTTATATCAGCGCAGGCGCTCTCGGCAGCATTAAGATCTCTCCTGTGAAGCTGAATGGTTTCCTTCACCTAGAAAGACCAAAAATATCATGTGAGAACTACCTCAAATTACTTGGTCATCACGCTGCTGAAGTAATATATGGCTGTCTACATACACTCTGCATGGGCTCCGGTTGGTGGCGAGTGACAGTCTTCAGAAAGGCAAACTTTGAGAGGATCCACTGTTCTCTCTCAGTCAGGTTTGGAGCACTATCCCCGCCTTCCTTCCTGTCAACAGTCTTCATCTGGTGCGCTTGCTCTTCCCAGATCTTCTCTTTCTCGTCATTACGCCTATAATCTGTCATCTTCACATTCCACAACACAGGATTGTCCATGCATGATAAACTCCAGCCTCTTCTGTGGGGCTGAGGTTGCAGGGGGCTTTCTTGGCCCTCTTCCTCTTTTTTTCTCCTTGCTATCAGCCCGCCGGAAGGAGGTGAAGTCATCAATGGTTTCAGATGATAAAGCCGATGAATTATAGGAGTCTTGGAAGGGTTGTGTTGGGGACTTTGAGAGCTCAGAAACATGTCGCGCATTATTTAAAGATGTTTCGGGAATATCGACAAGTGTAGGTGCATCATCATCAGGTGGTTCAACTACATCTGCAGGTACACAAACACGTTGCTCTTCAGCTTTGGCTACGGCTGATGATGGAGTCCTCTTTCCTTTTCTTCGTCCGCGGGTAGATGATGTCTTCTTATTTAATTGGCATGGCGTCTTCGTCTTTTTTCACTGCAGGTTTAACCTTTTCTCGAATGCAGACGTGTGAAAAAACTGCTGCTTATATACGATTAAAGTGTGTGAAACGACTGTGGTATGCTTGACATTATGCGCATTCGAAACGCTTCTTGTACGCTATTCAAACGCTGGCATACGCCAGCGACAGGCTACTCATACGATACTCATATTATTAATAAGTTAATTTTATGCAAAATGTCCTATTTTTACGGACTTTTTCGTGCGTATCAAAATGAACGAAATGATCTTCATATATATACGCGACTCATAGAACCCCGAAAGTTATTGGCTCACGATTAATGAGAATGAGGCTGCTGCACAAGCATTGGATATTTACGGTGATGTAATTAAATTTTTATTTCAAGGGGACGAAGCTTGAATTAGTCGAAGCTAAAGCACGCCTAAACTTATACGCTTGGTAATTGCAGCTGGCGTATTATTGAGTTTATTGTATTCTATAAAAGAAAAACCCATCCTGTCAGCCACAGCCATATAATAAGGTATGGAAATATGAAACCATTTCCTTACGAGCGATATCGATTTTGTTTCCCAAAACTACCGCAAATGTTCATGTGAATAATTGTGTTATATATCCGTGTGCGCATACACACGTAAAATATCTATAGCTATCGCACGCCGAAATATTAAATAAATGACAGCTATAT